TCATGTACAATGCAGACATTGATTCTGTAAAAGAACATGCTGACTTTCACAAGTTACAATATAAAGTCAAATTATGCAACTTTCATGCACATTCTAAAATTAACAATGCATGACAAAAATTCTCTTAAATATTATTAAAAAGAGTGTAGTTATATACAGTATTTCAGATATAGGCTGAAATCCTTTTGCTTAGTGCAAGCAACTTTTGGTTTGTTCCTCTCCAGCAAACAGTGTCCCTGCTGCAATGCTTGGTTATGCGCAGGTACACAACAAGACAGCATGTACCCTTCAAAGAATCACAGGAGTGACTGTTTACCAGAGAGGAACTGGTTGAAAATTACAAATTGGCTTATGTGGAGCGTTATTTAACCTAGTAATATGGCTTTAATTTAACCAAACTCCGGGAGGCGGTGGAAAACAGGAGGGCCTGGAGTGCTCTGGTCCATGTGGTCACCAAGAGTCGAACACGACTTAGCAACTAAACAACAAGAATTAATATGGCATATTTTGTTTGCTGCAAGAAGCTAAGGTCTATAATATTTTTAAAATATAAAGAATTATTTATTTCCTGTCATGTTTTCAATAAGGCACTATCGCAAGGGAAGAGGTAAGGGGGAGCAAGAGAATATCCTACTGCATAAATAACAGGAATCTCAGCAGTGTAATCCAAACTGTGCTCCTGATTCAATGTCACACCTTTTTCTTGAAAAGCACATTTCATGAAATCTGTGTAATTGTTTAATGTTTAGAAAAAGTGTTTACTTATGTTACTATAACTTAGAATTCTTTAATTCAAGCAGTCTTTCAAACAAATTCTTTTCCACTATTTCTCAATGATTTTGATTCCATAAAATAATCACAAAAACTGATGATTTAATAGAATCAGTTCTCCAGATACTGGCTAGCAATACCGTATTGTTCCGTGTATAAGATGCTACTTTTTCATAAAGTTATTACACTAAAAATTTAGGGGCATCTTATACAGGGAAGTACGCTCAGAACATGGAATAAACAAAAGAGTCCATACCCTGCCTCTGTAAACAGTCTTCCTCCAATCACGAGCCTTATGGAACTGATGTCAGCTGAGGCTGAACAAACCAACTGGAACACAACTCGTTGGAGATGGAGCCTGCAGGCTCAGATGCAACAGGGATTCCTAATGTCTGATCATTCTGAGCCCAGAGGCTGAATCCTCAAAGCTAAGTTTTCTTAATTTTTAGGTTAGAAAAGTGTGTGTTTGGGGGTGTCTTAAACAGAAAAATACAGTATGGTAATTCTATCCTTTTATTCCTCCATGGAAATGTTGTGAGAGATATTAATGCACCACACAATTAAAGTGCAGTATGGTTAGCTAGGAAGATAGTCACAGATTTTTTAAAAAGTAAAAACAAACCCTGCAACAAACACATGCCTATACATGCCAGTCTCAGAAATGAGTTTAGCTACTTACTATGATGTCAGAGAAGACTGAAGGAGCAGCTTCTAGTGCTTTCACTTTATTCAGATAAAGAGGGATTGTCAATCTGTTAATTTACAATGGGTGACTGCAATCATCCCTCTTGTGTAGGACATTGGTATCACACAGAGCTCTACTTCAGAACTCTTACCACCATAGTTCAAATAGTTACCAAAATTAAAGAGCAGAGCACAATCCTTGTGAGTGGTCAGAGATACATTGTTTCTTACTTTCTCTATACTGTACATCAGGGGTCTCAAACATGCGGCCCCCCAGATGATAGTTTGTGGCCCTTGCTTTGCCTGCCCCCCCAAAGCGCCCACACATCCTCTGCTATCAAGAGTTAAAAAAAAACCCTTGCCTCACTCGCGGACTCTCTCCCAAGACAGCACCTCTTGCACCATCCATCCAGAACTGCAGCCTGCCAGCCAGCCCACCTGTCTGTCGGCTAAGGAAACTCCTGGGCGGCTTCCTCGGGCTCTTGCTCCGCTTGGCGGAAAATCTGATGCGGCCAGCCTCACCCAGACTCTGTCTCTAGCGGCCCCCAGGTAAATTGAGTTTAAAACCCCTGCTGTACATGCATAGCTAAGAGGAGGAAATGACTCTCTCCCATGTCCTGCAACATACCAGAGGGTGAACAGGAGAGAGGACTGGTAGTGACTACAAACAATAGCTAGGTAGTAATACAAGCCAACACTGGGGACTTCTAAAGACCCACTACTGGGAGAAAGGTGGCACAGAAACACAATCAATAACATGTGAACAATGAAAGTTATAAGAATATCTGCACGAAACAAAGCTAGATATTCTAAGAAATTGTAAAGTGAAAGAGGTAGAATTTGATACAGAAACTTCTGAGTAGGCAACAAACCAGGATCCAGCAAGAAAAGCATGCATAAGGCAATACCAATAACAAAACTACTTATAATAGGAGAAAAGCTCTCAACACCCAACCAAGCTCCAGCTTTATAGTACAAGCAGCACAAAAGCCTGGCTTGTAAATGCAAGTCAGGAAACTTCCTTTTGTAAAAGATTCAAGAAAGAACAATAATTTTTAACTAGGATGTAGAATGGGGAGAATCTGAATAATTCAAATACTGTTCCAAATAATATAGTTAAAGCATGGTTTTAAAAGATATTAAGGATAGTAATTATAAATGCAGCTTCCATTTCTTTTTTTAATGCACACCTACAAACATGAAAAGGGAATATGCTTCTTCCATTAAATATATCTCAGAAACTAAACAGTGCTAATATTTGCTCCTTACTAAAATGCTTTCTTATATATGTGAACCACATGGCAGCTGGCCATCCAACTGCTTCTTCCAAGGACATTTAGATGGACCAAAGTCAAATACAAGCTACTTTCTGTATGGTAAGAGTACTGTAACTTTAAAGGTTGTTGCTAATAATATACAACAGGTTAAGACATCAAAACTTCAAATTTAGCATTTGCTTATTGTTTCACATGAATGCTTGAAGCAGCTAGGGAACTGCAACCTTTAATCTTTGAAGCTATTCTGGATATATCAGCTGACAGAGCACTATTTAACTATAAATTTTAAAAACAGGTGAAAAATCAATGTGAAAGATAGCATTAAGTGAGCTTTAGAGTCATTTTGATCCCTGATACAATCAAATACAGATACTGGAACTCATTAAAGCTGCTTTTACACTATGGAAAAAGCTGAATGGACATTGTTTTATATATAAAGCTTGCATCATAGTATGAACAATGTTCCAGACAAGTCAGAGGACATGCTGAATCAGTGAATTTGTCATGTGCAAGAGTTAAAATGAATCTAAGTACCAACTGCCTGGTCCTATTCTAGATGCAGCAATTGAGTCCTACAAGCATAAAGTAAACTATGAAATTTAACTAGTTGGAACTATTCCTGATCAATGCAGTGTTAGAAATGGAGAAAAGACTAGATGAATACATACCTTTCACATCTGTAGCCAAGCACAATTGTAAGGAGAAAAGATAGAAAGAGGAGTTTCTTCCCCTATAGGCCTTCACAGTTTTGCTTGATTTACCATTGCTGATGGTAGTACACAGACTGTCATCAATTAATTTTTCATTATAAATAAAAAATTAACATAATCCTATTCTGTTTCTTATATATAAGAGCAGACTACCAGTAAATATTATCCTTGCAACTATTTAAATTAATGAACTACATATGTAAATAAATTTAAGCCCTGCATTGCAGCTTCAAGCTGGACTCAGCACACATGCAAACACAGAGTGAGAAAGCACAGGACAGCAGAAGTCTGGATCACATGCATGTCCATGGAACAAGCACCCATTTCAATACTACATACACAATATCTTATTGCCAACTAAACTAATCTGCATCCCAAAAGACAATTCCTCAAGATGTTTGAAGTTAATTTTGAGACACTGTATCCCCCAGAAATCTTCCTGTTATGAATGAATGAAAAATTAAAATGAGAGAGTATCAGATCAAAGAATTGAGAATTTTCTTGTCAAGTGATTTACTGAAACTGCATAACTTGCAGGACCAGTGGTACAAAAGGCTATATATTTAATAAAAAAATGAATAAAGACTCAGTCCTCTACAAAACCTTTGCAAGGATTCAATTTTAGTACATATTGGCAAGTGCTTGAAAAGCAATGTTTGCAATGGCAATCTAGATGACAGGTCTACACCTAATAGATGATACTCAACCAAGCTGCCACCATGAACTGGGAACCAACTCTAGTAGCACAGACATATTCCACCAGCATGTAAGCTCACACCCATTTTCCTTGATTACATGCCTAAGCTGGAAAGCTGAATCCTGTTCAGGACACTATACTCTGTGACACAGAAATTTTGCCTTCTAAATCCAAATACATTAGCTCAGTGGTCTAGGTCTCTGAATGCAGAGCCAGAGGTTGGGGGTTCAATTACTCCACTGTGAATCCTTGACAGGGGCTGGACTCAATGATCCATAGGGTCTCTTCCAGCCCTGCAGTTCTAAGATGATGAAACAAAAGAAAGGCACCCTCTCACTCACCGAGAGAGGGTTTGTTACTCCCAGCATCCTTCCTAGAAAGTCGTTCCCTTACGCATTTGTTTTGATTATAGAACAGCTCCTAGAAAAAGTGCCAGACCCAGACCTGAAATCTGCCAGAAAGTCACACCCGCTTACCTAGATGCCTCCCTACCTCAGAGGTGGGGGCAGCCTCTGGCAAGGAAGCTACTGGCATACACTCAGCTCAGAGGCACATTCATTTCGCTTTGTGCATGGCGGGGCCAAGTTCTTGCACTCAAGAAAGAGAAGCAGGCATACAGAAAAGGCACTACCGACTCGCTCGACTCCACTCCCAAGTCCTCCTGGGCTTGCAATCCTTGAAGCGCACCCGGCTCGGGAGTCGCCTCGCGCTGAACTCCGGAGCAGCGTGCACCGGATCCGGTGACTCGTGAGAGATGCGACGAGGCGCGGTGCGAGGGAGAGACCGGCCGGCCGGCTGCCCCCATCCCGCCAAGAGGCCCCTGACAAATACCTACCGGCGACCTAAACCCACTCGCCTTACCTTGGGCGATGGCGATGGACTCGAAGCGGTGCAACTCCCGCAGCAGGCAACTCCGCTCGGTGGAGTGCAGGCTGTAGATGAAGTCGCGGGCTCCCTGCGCCGTGTTGAGCGTCTCGATGGGCTCCTTCTTGGGGTGCGTGCCCAGCGACCTCGGGGAGCCCGTGGAGGACGCGAAGGAGGGCAACGGGGAAGGCGGGAGCCAGAGTCCTTTGTCCGGGCTGGCGCCGCGTCGGAGAAGGCTCAGCCATCGGCGGCGGCGGAGGCAACAACAGCTGGTGTTGCTGCTGCT